AAAAAAAAAAAAAAGATTAAAGTCTGTAGATAGGCTGTTCTTCTGCAAATTACCTATAAAACAATTTAACAATAATTAACAGAGCTCCATGTATTCCTGGGTTCTTTAGAGGATTTTTGGCTTCCTGTCTCTCATTTCTATAAAATTTTTGGTTTGCAAGAATTCTAAGATTGTATCATTTGCTTTCTTTTCTTCCCCAGAATTTGTAGTTGTATTCTTTACAGTGCAACAGCAACAAACCTGATGTTATCAAGAACAAATTTCTTCTTAATGTCCATCACAGCGGTGGTCAAGAACTTGACGTCATAGCTTTCTATGTGTGCTTAATTTCTAAGTCTTGATGGCATAGAGAATAAATGCCTTTTAAAAAAAAAATCCTCGAGCTGTATGTTAAAAGTAACCCTCTTTTTATCTAAATAAAAATTATTATATGTTTGTTCTTTTCAGAAAAGCAAATGGGTGCTTGTAGATGCAAACACATAATCCATAAAATGTTAGATGTGATTTTTGAAGAAAAGGTAAATGTGTAGAATACAAATATACATGCATATTTTTCAACGGTAATGCTCAATTGGACGGGAGTAGTTCTGCACTGAGCTGTAGTTATGTTCAGAGAAACAGAAATTGAAGGTCCATAGGTTCATCATGTAACCCTTTAAATTTAAGGAGAGCATTAGAGAGATGTTATAGATTGCACATGTTAACAATTTCCTTGCTTTCCTGAGCACTTGAAATGAACCCTTCTCTCTGGAAAGAGGTCAGACCTTTCTTATACAGCTCTTAATGTTTGACTGGAGCTAGAGATCTTTTTACGGTGGAAAAGACCATTGTGCTTGCAGAAAATTTGCTTCTTCATTTTCAATACAGAATGTAGAATGACTGCCAGTTTAGGGAAAAAAAAAAAACGTATACTGTGACTTGCATAGTAGAGCAGCTTTAACAACTTAAAAGTCCTTTTTGAGGACTTCAATGAGGAATGGATTTCCCATGTGTTAACACTACTATCAAAGTATTAGGTCATTGTTGATTTGAAAGAACAGACTTTAATCTTAAATATTGGTAAAATATTGCTGCAAGGTATTACATCTCAAGGTAAAGTTTATTTTATGGTGGTTTTTTTGAACAGGCTGAGACCATTTTCCAAGAAATGTTTCCTACGGAGGAATTTTGCCCACCACCACCAAATCCAGAAGATATTATATATGATGAAGATGAGCTTGCACCAGAAGATTCTGGATTCAGTAATTCACCAGAAACAAAACCTGAACCCTCACCTGAGGAAAGCTGTGGTGGAGGGAGTACTGCTGTTGAGCAAGAACGTAATGAAGGATGAAGTACCTCTGTTTTCTTAGTGGAAGAAGAGGTTGACCCAGACTAAAAAGTAGGGGAGGAAGGGTAAGAAAAAGAGGGTTTTTTAAAAATAAATAAATAAATAAATAGCAAGCTGTATTATTTGTGATTGCCTTACTATCCTTAGCTTGAATATGCTCTTTCTTCTTCAAATAGTTTCACTGAGTTCTAAATAAAAGCATAGTCAACCAGTTCGAGGGTGTTAGTAGCTAAACAAAATTTGTTTAAAAAAAAAAAAAACCCAAATTATTTCAAATGAAAATGTTAAAATAAGATTCATGATTTCTTTTTAAGAGAATTTGGTTTTGTTTTACATTTTGGAAAGACTCCTCCATCTTTCAAACAGGCACAAAGTTGAAACTAATCAAAAGAAAAAATATGCAAGTATGCTTACAAATTTGAAGATGACCCTCTAGTGTAAGTTATCACAGTTCTTCAAAAAAAGAAGGGTCTGTTATAACTTGACAGCTGAATGTGAGCTTCATAAGCATCATGAGCTTCATAAGCTAGCTATCCTGCAAGGTGGCTGAATGGTTGTGAATGGAACTTAAAGGCAGTATTGACGGTTCTGAGGTGATTTTTAGAATACATAATACCACATTTAATTTGTATCATGAAAAGTTTCTTGTATGATTTTGAAACTGATGTCATAATTTAGAAGCAAATATCATCCACTAGATACTCCTCACATGACTATTTTACGTACAGAATGTTTCTTAATGAGACCTAACTGTTGCATGATCACAAATATTTTATTAATGACTTCATTTACTGTTGTCAGGAAAATAGCACTATTTAAAATTAATGCTAGTCTTCTCTACAAAATTAAGGTTTATAACTGGAGCGTACTTGGTGTTAGTTTCCCCATATTTGTTTGGGCCCCTGCTAAGCTAGTAATTTAATTTTTTGCAAGTTTCATGTCTGAGAAGTTTAGTTTATGATTAATTTTGTGTTTTGTGGGGAGGAGGAGAAGGAAGATGTTCAACTGATTAGAACTCCAAAGGTTTGTACTGATCCTGGGTAAGAGGTTTGAAATTAGTATGATAGTTGTAAATTATGCATTTTGTAATGGTAAATCATAAAGCATATTTATACAATAAAATTTATTGAAGTATTTATAAACTTAGTTTATATGAAGAATTGCAAAACGAGAAAGTTGTTGTATATGACCATGATAGACTTGTACCTCTTTTGAACAATGCTTGAAATCGCATATTCCGATAATGAAAAATGTTTAGCTTTTACTTTAAGATTTATCTTAAAATATATACCCAGTAGATCGTCTGTATCAGTGAATTTTGATGATAGTCAGAGTTTAAACTTCAGCGTGAACTTAGATACAGTATTTAAGCAAATAAATGAACGAAACAAATGAAAATGCCATCAAATAATGAATACACAGCACTGCCTGCAATTGACGCAGCCGGGCTTTTGTAGTTTTCCAGAGCACGTGCCTGCCTTTAAAATGGCTTCATGCCATGAAGGTCAACTTATTTATTTTTTTACGGCCTAACTGACACGGTTAACTTCACTTTTTGTCTTGCATCCTAATACAATGTCCAGCTTGCATTTCAGAAATCCGTGTGTTAGTGTTTACATTGTGTGTTTATCAGATAGGCGTCATTGTGTATGTAATTTCAAAGTTCTCAGAAAAAAGTGGCTGAAATGTTTCCAAAGTTAAGCTGCAGTTATCTTTGGATGCTTGTGATTAAGCAGTTATTTATATGTAGTAATAAGCAGGCTGCCTCTTTGCTTAGCTGTAATTTTTGTGTATTGGAAAGCATGAGTATATGGTAATTGTATTTAACATCTACAGATCTGTAAAAGACCTGAGTGGAGGACCTTGTTCATGTTTGCCTTTCAGTAATAGGGATCATAGCTGAACTTGTCATCTGCAGTGTTTACAAAGAAATCGTTTGAAAATTAAAGGTTTGCTTGCAAGTGCCTACCTTTCTGTGTTTTCTTTCAATTATGCAAGAAAAGGAGTTCATTTGTTAGCCGAGGTTTTCTGATAATGTTTATCTGTTGACTACTTTCACAATATTGACATCTGTAATAAGACTGAAGTTTACTTGCATGGCAGTCCGTTGGTATATTTTAGCAAGTGTATGTAAAGTAGCTTCCTAGTGCCTTGCGCCCATTTGAAGCGGAAGGTTGGCAATGCTGCAAATTTGATTTTAGATAAGACAGAATTACCTAAAAGTTGTAGGCTATGTCTTTATACTACATTGGTTGCTTAAAAACTGTTTTCATATCTTGTTCGTATGGTGAATGGAAATATATAATGTTTTTCCTATGGTACTTGAGTACCCAATAGCTCACTTGCAATAGCAATAGATAAGACTGTTGATCTTGATATTTTACAGAAATTGTGCATTGAACTGCATTTTGTTCTTGAATTAAATGATTTAAGCATACAAAGTGAGGGTTAGGCTTATTTGAAGTAGTTTTTAAGGCTTGTCACACAGGATGTGTTCAAAAGATAACATGACTTTTTAAAAACTGGCAATTTATCTGTAGGATTATTAATAAATCAAGTTAAAGAAAGATAAGGTTAATTGAATTTTTAAACAAGTAACTGTATTATCCTTCAAGCACCTTGGAGCTCATACAATATTCACACCTCTTTTTTTTCTAAGATGTGCTTTGATATGTTTGAATTCCTTTTTTAATGAGTACTTTCTTTTTAACTTTGGCTAATTGGATTAACTCTTAATATTCAAACAGTCAATTTTATGCCATTTCCCCTTCTGATGTCGTATTGCCTTTTCCGTACGACTGCAATTAGTTACCCTTTCTTTGGAAGTATTTTCAGCCATAAAGCTGCTACGTCTGCTTTTTCTGGTGATGATGATGCTTAGGGCCATTTGACAGGTAATCATTAGAACTGAGATCCTTGCAGACTATGGGGTCTTTTCTCTTATCATTGCAGGGGGATTTATGTGGATAACTCCTATTAATGTTAATGGGACTTGCATGTGTAAATCCTCCTTGCATCGATGGGAAAATTGACCCCTGGAAAAAAAATCTTCATGTGAGATTTGCTGATTCAGAAATATCCAAGCACTGTCAGTTCCTGCGAGGAGCTGTGAATGGCAGAGGCTATGCTAGCCTTCTGTCATTTCGGTGAAGTGCTCTGAACAGGACACGGGGAATTTTGAGGATTGTAACTGTTTATATTGTACTTCATTTTAATATTGTACTTGTTTTTGGAACACTTCCAAATCTTGTCCAAATTCCTCGAACAGTTCTATATTCTTTATGCAGCTAGTAGCAATTTCAGTTTTTCTATTCAGGAGGTTACATGGTTCCTTTTGCTTCAGTCTTCATTGTACTCTTTCTCCTGCTGCCCACCAAATATTTGCACATCAGCAACATGAGTTGTAGCAGCTTAGCTTCAGGAAAAATTTGCTGATAATCCATTGATTAATAACAAGTAGCAAATATTAAAATACTGTTTTTGCACAAGAATAGACTAGGTCACTTACGATATATAATCTCAGCAGTTGAAAGGGTAAAATGACTTTCCTCAACACTTTTCTGGACTGGGAATGGGAAGACATGAATGACCTGCTTTTCTACACATGGTAGAAAGAAGAGAGAAAGAAACATGGAAAGAGCTGAAGCAGGATTGCTCTAGTGAGAGCAGTAGGATAAAATGGGGGCTGATTATCGTAACCTTCATGCTTTGAGATTAACTATGTCTTGCACTTGTATATCGCCTTCCACTGTGAGATTGCTGCACAATTTCTAACTCTTTATGGACTTGAAATAAGAAACATACGTGCTTTTGGGAATGAGACAACAGCAGTTAACAAGGGATGGAATACCGTGTAAATGGAGTAATACCCAGCACCTGCACTGAGGAGTTTATAGTATAAATAAGAAAGCAAGAGAGCAGTGGAAGGTTGTAAAGCAGCCCAGTAAACTTCTACAAACTGAAATTCCATATTTCTGTGACTTTTATGTTGTTTCTTAAGGTATTGGATGGGGATCAGTGAGATCTGCTCAATGGAAGGACAAGACAAGGAAAAGAGATTTTGAAGAAAGAAGAAAATGGAAGAGATAAGCAGGAGCTTTACAGAAGTCAGACAGAAAAGTCAGAAGAGGTTAGCACTGAATCAAGTAAAGGTGTAGATTAAGTATAAAGTGAGAGGAGAAGAGAGAGTACCTTTCTGGTAGTAATATATTTGAGTACCCATGGACGTTGCTCTGACTGTAGGGTGACTTCTCTGGACTATTTAGCTTTCCCTTGCTTTTGCCTATTGTTGAGAAGTGGATGCTTTTAAAGATCCCCGTATTCTGTAATGGAAATACTCTCAGCTCTAGCACATTGAAAGTAACCATCAGAGAGAGGGTAATGTGCCTCTAAGTGAGCTCAGTCTTTCCCATTGCATGTTATGATATTTTTTTTAATGTGCTGTTAATCATCATCATTTGGGTTTAATTCCAGTTTCAAGTTTACAGAGCAATTATTAGTCAACAGGTTCAGCTTTCCTGTCAAAATTAGAATGTTTTGGAAGTTTGATTTCCCTGTTACTGATAATGAAAGAAGAAGCTGAGCATGGAAATAGAAATGGGATTATGAATTTATTAAATAAAATACTAAAAAAAAATACTAACACTAGCTGCCATGTAAACAGTAAGCATCAATTAAATAATCTTAACAGTACTTATTAGAATTCTAAACAAGTAGTTTAAGATAAATCTCAGTTCATATCATGAAGATTTATATCTCTTTGTTGATTGATTAAATTAGTGCAAAATTACTTGTGTGTCACCATGACTTCAGTGGATGTAATCTGTTGATGATCTGTTGGATCAGACTAATGGTAACAGCATCATCCCAGTTGTCAGTAATACATGTTTAGAGAGAACAAATAAGGAGCAATTCTTTTAGTATACCTCCTTGGCTTCCTGCAGTTTCCAGTTTGGAGAATTCTTTAATGGGAATGTGTTTTTAATACATTTATGTGTTTAATATTCCATAAGGGGTTCTTTGCTCCTTAAATTCATCTGATAGACTTTTGAATCAGTGTATTGCTTTAGCTTCTCTAACTTGCAAGTTGTTCTTTTTCTAATAACCAGTAAGATAATACTTGCATTTTTTAATTGTTGCTGAGCGTTGACTTCACTTATTCATAGAACTATTCATATTAACCTTAAGATTTTTTCAAGTGGGATTTTTATTTCAAAGGCCAATATTCTATAGATGAAGTTGGATTACTTTTCCTCATAAGTAATGTATTTTCTTTATTCATGGATATGTTTATCTGTCGTTACTGAGCATGTCTTGCTCATTCACTTACTATTGCAGGGTCTTTATGTAATCCTCTGCAGTTCATTTTAGTTTTTACTATCCAACATAACTTTTTATCATTAGCAAACTTTATTACCCCTTTTTTCAGCTGATTCCCAAATATTTTCAGCAGCACAGGGTTTGAGGTGATTCCTAATTTTTTGCCAGCTGTTAATCAGTAGTAGCTTCCTCCTTACCTCTGATGGTTTGAGGTTTTTAAGAATCTTTGGTGAGAGATCTTGTCACTGTATCCTATATCTGCATCCATGAAATTGTAGCCTGTTCAAAAACTTTTGTAGATTTGTGAGGTATAGCTTTTCTCTATGAAAGCTTTGTTAACTCCCAGTATTATGTTTGTGTGTGCCTACTAGTTCTTTCTGTGTCAGAGTTTCATCACTTTCCACTGATATGGAAGTTAGACTTTGGTCAGTGGTAATATAAAGAAGTTCCCTTTTTAATTTAAAAAAAAAAAAATCCCTTCAAAAAAAAAAAAAGACAAGTTCCAACATATCCCCTTAAAAAATAAAAATTCTTGTGGAGGAACTTCCCTAAATTGCTCCATTATTTGGAATATTAATTCAGAGATCTCTTAGCTTTTCTGCTATAACTTTTTCTTTGAATTTTCTCTTCACCCATAAATTATCTATAAGCTCTGCAAATTCTGATGCACCGTGTGCGGTGGTTGCCTTCCTCCTCCCACCTCTTATGATTCTGTGACTGCTTTTTTGTTTTGTTCCAGTTCTGCAGTTCTGGCAGCCTAGGTTCCTAGATTATAGATGTTTTGCATTAATGGATGTGATTCCTGTGTGATTAGTGCAGTTGCTAATTTTCCAAATAAAGGAGCAAATTACCAATGTCACATCATAAAACCTAATTGATTCTTTTTATGAGTGTGTGTATGTATGTGTGTGTGAATATATATATATAATATATATATAGTGTGTGTGTGTGTACTTAAACAACAGGATTTTTTTTCTGCTAGTGTTAGCTCTGTATATATATAGCTATTACGGCAAAATAATTAACTTCATAAAAGTTTACATTTAAACTTTCGCAGATTTCAACCAGTATAGAATGTCCAAAAATTAAAATCACTTTCTGTGACCAAAACTTTCAAATATGTTGAAGAGTATTGGTGGAGGGGGAATTGCTTGCATTCCATGGGTAAGTAGTGCTTATCAAGTACCTTTGATAAGATGTGGAAGTAGCTGGGACATTGGAAGTTGGAGAGACCAGTATTAAATATTTATTAATTCTAACCCACTTTAAGATTAGTTCAATAATAGATTAAAAAAAAAAAAACTTAAACAGCTTCGTTATGTATGGTTTCAAGAGTAACTTTGTAATGCAATAAAAAGTTACCATAGATTGATACTTTCAGCCGTAGGGATAACTAGCAGGAAATTGTCTACCAGGTGGACTTCATGACGTCAACTTCATATCTAGCAAAAAAAAAAAATTACTTTTAGTGGAAATAGAGCATATTAGCAATTCCACCATTATATTTATTTACAGGCTGCCAGTTCCTGCTAATAACAGTGACTGGTTCTTCAAAATCTGGATGGGGAGCCAGGCAGGAATGTTGTAAATCTCAATGACATTTGAGATTTAGAAAGTTGACAGTGAAGTATCAGGAAGATGCAGTTGTT